AGATGTCTACTTTAGCCTTAAGCAGATCTGCCCAGCGGGGCAACTCATGATCATCGGTAAAGTCATTTCGCCAAGCATCATCTAGACGGGAGAAGCAGCGGTAGCGGGTGTGGGGCTTGCCGCACGTCTGGCGAATGACGTACGGGCAAGAGAGAACACCCCCAGACCCCTGGCGCTGAGCATACAAGTCACGAAGCTGCTGGGGCGAGAGGGGCTCACGCTGGCGCTGCTGCTGCTGTTGCCGCTAACCACCTCCAGTCCGCCCACCGCTGCTGCTGCCACCACCACTCCCGTCACCACCACCACTGCCCCCACTGCGTCCACTGTCACCACGACCGCCACCACCACCCCCGCCGCTACCACCGCCCCCACCGCCTGCTCCCCCACCCCCGCCACCACCCCCACCGCCACCACCTCCACTGCCTCCACCGCCTCCACCGCCTCCACCGCCTCCACCACTACCGCCTCCACCGCCGCCACCCCCACCACCCTTGCCTCCCTTGCCCCTGCCGCTGCGGCGCCTCCCACTAGGAGCAGAGGCAGCACCGACTCCCTCAGCACTAAGGAATTCGACAGCGGCAGCAGAGGCGACAGAGGGGGCAAGGGGGGAGGCGGAGCACCCCTCAGCGAAGGGCGTGCGGGGAGTGCCACGAGCAGCACCAACAGCGACAATGTTCGTCTCGGCTGCTAGGAGGTGCTTCAAGAGCAGGTCGATAGTGAGGTCTGTGGGGCGAAGGGCTAGGAAGGTGTCCCTGACTGCACTGAGAGAGTCTGGGAGGCGAGTGACTATAAAGTAGAGTGTGATGTAGATCGGGGGCTCATTCTTGGGGAGAAACTCTGTGGGGAGGGCGGCACGGTAGCGAGCGTCTATAGTGCGGAGGTGGGTGATGAGGTCGTCGACAGTGTCAAACGAGGACAGCTCAGGAAAGAGGTAGGGGAGAATGAGGCGGCCTAGCGCTGCAGTGGTAGGGGAAGAGTAGCGCGCAACTACAGCGTCGTACAGCTCCTTGGCCGTTTTGGTCTGATCGAAGTGCGCACGCTCAGATATGGGCAGGTGGTTACGGACAGCTAATCGAGCGGCAACATCACGAGTGAGCCATTTCGAGCGAGTCGTGCTATCGGCAGAGGCGGCAGGTGCAGGACTAGCTCCAGAGGTGAGGTCATACAGCGAAACATCGTCTCTAGAGTCGCTCAGTAGGAACAGTTGTAGGTCCCGCAGCCAAGTTTCAAACTTAATGGGGCGGCCATCAGGATCGAATTCGAGAACGCTGAGCGAGGCCATAGCGTCTTAGTGAATGGGGGCCGCGCAAGCAAGCAAGCAGGAAGCTTCCAGGAAGCTGCGAGGGCTGCAGGTGAGCGGTGCACAGAGCGGCAGCAGTAGAGGGCCGGCAAGCAGGCCGGCAGGAGCAGCACGCGGGCAGGTGCGGGCGGCGCTAGAGGATGGCTCGCGGGCCGCGCGGGCAGGAAGCAGGCCGCGCACGGGCGGGGCGGGCTGCCAGCAGGCGGTGGCACGGACTAGCGCGGGCTGCTCGGGTGGCGAGCGGGCTGGCGCGGGCTGCGTGGGCAGCGAGCAGGCCGCGCGGGCAGCAGGCAGGCCGCGCGGGCAGCAGGCAGGCCGCGCGGGCAGCAGGCAGGCCGCGCAGGCCGCCAGCAGGCGGTTCGCGGGCTGGCGCGGGCGGTTCGCAGGCTGGCGCGGGCTGGCGCTGGCTGGCGCGGGCTGCGCGCGGTGCTAGCGGGCTGCGCGCGGCGCTGACGGGCTGCGCGCGGCGCTAGCGGGCTACGCGCGGGGTCCTAGCGGGCTGCTCGCGGGTCGCGCGGGCTGCAGCAGTAGCGAAAAAAAGGAAGGCCACGCGTGGGCAGCGGGCCACACGCGGGCAGGAGGTAGGTGGGGTAACACGGTAACTAGGTGGGCCCGAAATTCTAGGGTTCTAGGTCCTAAGGACCTCCTACTCTGATAGCATGTTGAGATAGTAGGAGCAATGGATGATTGAGTATCGAGAGAGTTGGGTACAAAAAGGAGAACAAGGGGTTGTACCCCATACTGGCTACCCCACTACAGCCTAGATAAATAACATAGGTATATATGTTTGACAACACCCTTTGTTCGTTTTCGGATAATGATATGGGCACCCAGAGACTTCAAGGCTATTGTTTTCCAGCTAGAATCATTTCCTTCTAAAAAAACTCACACTTAGTGCTCCAAAATAGAGGGCGGATCGGCTTTGACCAGGTTTTGACTGCCGTCGTCTCACAAAGGGTACGCTATATTCTACCTTCAATAAATTTCAAAACTACTCTTATAAAAAAGTTTGACCAATGAGAAGTACCCTCGCGCGGTTAAGATAGTGGCGGTTAAAATATTGTGGAGTATGTGTACTTTCGCATTGGCGCATTTCCAGTTTGGGGTAACCGCCGCGCTCACCATGTAACTGCCGCGCCTACCTGTTATGAGTTGTAAAAGAGAGTGCGCAGGTAAACGAACAACGAGACTGTGATTAACTGATCTGAGAATACAATGAAGGCACAGACTAAAGTAGGGACTAGCCTAGCTAGGAGGGAACCTCGGACGAGGTTGGGTGCAGGTTTGGCGATTGGGAAATGCCGAAGGCGACGCGAGGAGCCTCGGCAGCGTTGAAATCGGCCGAACGTGCGAAGTCCGAAAATCGGGCTGTACGCGAAGCAGTCAACCCCGATAAGGGATTCGGAAACATTCCTTACACTACCCCCCCCCCCCCCCCCCCCCCCCCCCCCCCCCTTAAGAAAGGCGGTCAAGATCCGAAACACGCCTGCGCGCCAAGTAATCACCAACAAGTGACGAGGCGTCCAGCGAGTCGGAGTGCACACACGTTTCGTCTTCACTGGTGCGATCAGTCCAACGGACTAGGAAAACCACGTGGCGACCAGCTGCGTCAAGTCGAACTCGATGTGCCAAAATCTTCGAAGGGTCCAGAGTCGGCTCCGGGACAGGTCGTGCAGTTGGGGCAGCTTGTTGCCTCGCGATTCCGGTCGTGGCTGGCACGAATTTGCAAAGCAGGCTGACGTGGAAGGCGTCATGAATGCACCAGTCGTCGGGTAGCAACAGCTTCGAGGTGACAGGTGTCACCATCTTGATAATCTTGAATGGCCCACAAAATCATGGCCGTAGTTTCGACGGGCCGGGCAGGTGCAGGTTCTTCGTGTCAAGTAGCACTAGTTGCCCAGTGGTCAAGACGAGTTCCCAGCGTAGAAGGTCGGTGTATTTGCGGGAAGTGATATTCGCCTTGCGAATTGCGTCTGCGGCTTTTTCTCGGACTTCCTGAAGCTCCGTCACAAAAGTTTGTGACCTCGGGACCGGGTTGTCGAGAGTACCGTAATACCCCGGATATAAGACCCGGGGGTATTATAATGAATCCCACCCCAAATCTTGGAGGGGTCTTAACAGTTGGTAACAACTTATAAGACCCGGAGCTTATCATAATGTCTGCTATATACTTGTTTTTTGAAAGCCAAACATGAGAACAGTATGTGCTCCGTTTTCAACATTCAGTAAAAATACGCGAAATGAACTCCCAGACCATCAATGGCACGTCAACCAGCAACCACGCTGGAGGCCTTCTCCTATTGGTCCCAAAACGAGGTTACCACATCACAAACTTGCCAGACGCTGCGCGCGGATGCCTTGCTAGGCTCGTCCTTCACACCTCATGCATGCCTTGCTGCCTCAAACCCTGGCACGTCCTCCTTACGAGGTTGCGTTTCACGTTCACGCTGCTCTATACCTTTCCGTGAGGCACGAGGCCTTGCTGTGCTAGGCAGGCTCTCAGGGCGAGTATAACTTGGTGAGTGTTGGAGGATGCTACATGTTAGTCGTTAGTCTTCCGCCATGGTAACCTCACCCGATACCGGAACCTCGGCTCCCCGTCGCCGCCGCCGTGTCGAACGCGAGGCTCCTGTGCCTAGGCCGTCGCCTAGGCCCGTCATGCCAACGCCATCTGCATCTTCAAGCGACGATAGCCCGGCCCGTCCGTTGCCGCAGGTCAAGGTTCCTGTATTTCCGCAAGCCATAAGACCACAGGGGCAGAAGAAGCGCGTACAGGATGCAGAGCCCCCGTCACCTCGACGCAAAGTAACGAAGAAGGCGCGTCGCGCCTTCACCGCTAAGGAGAAGCTGTACTGGCTGGCGATGCTAGACGCCCAGCCTGATTTGCCCGTGCGGGCACTGGCGAGGCTCGCGAATGTGCAGCCGAAGCAAATCCGCGAATGGCGCAGCTTCAAGGAGCGCCTTGACAAGGCGGCTGGGTGTCGCCAACGCCTCAGTGGTGCAGGGCGAAAGCCCAAGTGGCCGATGATGGAAAGAGCAGTCTACCGGAAGTTTCTTCGCATCGCGGGAAAGGACTTCCGGTCTCCATCAGCTTGCTGCAGAAGTGGGCGACGAGCTACATGAAGCATCGCCACCCTGGAGAGAAGTGGCGCTCGTCCCAGCGCTGGAAGAAAAGGTTCCGCAAGCGCTGGTCCTTGGCGAGGCGCGTGAAAACAAAGATCGGCCAGAAGCTTGCTGCAGGTAAGGATTGTTTTGCACCCCGCTAGCTGTCTAGTGTTCTATGTCTTCACCGTTGTGCCGCAGATTGCGCGAAGAAATGCGAAGCGTTCTGGGAATTCGTGCGGCAAATGCGCGTGCTCAACTCCTACCCCCCGAATCTCATCGTGAACGCGGATCGAACTCCTCTGTTCCTCGAAATGCCCGCCGAGCGCACCCTGGAGATGAAAGGCACGCGTACCGTGCACGTGCGCACCGCCGGCTACGAGAAGGAGCGCCTCACCGTCATGCTGGCGGTGACGGTGGGCGGCTTGAAGCTCCCTCCCTACATCGTCTTCAAATGGAAGACGTTGCCGAAAATCCCCGTGCCTCGAGGTGAAATGCTTGAGTGGCTTCGTTACGGAAGCTTGTTAGAGGACGCCACCGCTAATGTCCAGTTTGATTTCGTGCAAGTGTCTTTATCTGAGCCCAGCAAAAGGGCTAGATGGACGAGCAGCTTGTCCAAGACTGGACAACGCAGGTTCTCGTGCCGTTTCTGAAGCCGCTGCGCGTGGAGGAAGGACGGCATAAGGATGCGCTCCTCGACTTCGACTCGTACCGAGGCCACACCACTGAAGCAGTCGGCCAAACGATGAAGCTGTTCAAGCTCACGCGCGCGGTGATCCCCGGCGGTTGCACGTCACTGCTGCAACCGCTGGACGTTTCGGTGAACCGTAGATTCAAGGCCGGGATGCGAGGAAAGCATTCCTCACCTGCGGCATCTCCACCGCCGTTGACGGAAGCGAGGATCACCTGATCCATGCTCACCTGCGTGACACGGCCAAGGTGGAGGTGCTGGAGGATGTGTGCGAGGCGGAGCTGGACGAGCTCATCCCCAACCCCTTCTACTCTGACCCTGCTGCCGCTGCTGACAAGGACGGCGATGCCGCCCTGGGGGCGGCAGTTGCAAAGGGGGGGGAGGCGGAGGAGGACTCTGAGGAGGACGAGGACTACGAGACGGAAGAGTCCGAGGAGGATGAGGACTCCTCGGAGGATGAGGACTCCGAGGAGGATGAGGACTCCGAGGAGGATGAGGACTCCGAGGAGGACGATGAGGAGGAGGGTGAGGCGGAAGAGGAGGTGGGTGTTGGGCAGGGATGGGACGATGAGGACGAGTGGTGGGCAGAAGGGCGATTTGACTGGGAGGAGGTGGAGGAGTGGGTTGCTGGGCAGGATGATGAGTAGACGTGCTTGTGCCTTGGTGACTGACTGTAGCCCTTCTTGAATGAACATTTTGTGGGATTTGTTGTAGAAAGCAGTAGGAAAACTGTCAGAAATGCATTTCTCACCTATGAAATGACCCCTTCTCTAGGGGAAGGGGGGTCTTATAATGTTAGCCCCCCTATAGGGGGGTATGACTACAAACGACCTATTTAGCGTACACCCCTCCGTATTATAGACCTGGGGGTCTACAACTGGAGGGGGTCTTATATCCGGGGTATTACGGTAGTTGCCGTAGAAACTGTCAGGTCCATCCCGTAAGTTATGAAGAACGGGGAGTGATTAGTTGTACTGGACGGGGCGTTGTTGAAAGCGAACTCCAACATGGCGAGCGATTCTTCCCAGCGGGCAGGGTCGGGGCAGTTTGTCCTAATCAGCTGCTCCATGGTCTGATTGGTCCGCTCGGTCTGGCCGTCCGTTTGTGGGTGGTATGCCGATGAGAACTGTAGCTTCTTGCCGTACTGCGCCCATGTCTCCTTCCAAAATTTCGATGTGAATTTCGGGTCGCGGTCGCTGATGATCGCCGAAGGGATTCCGTGCAGTCGCACGACCGTTGAGATGAAGAGGCGCGCAGTTTCTTCGGCTGTGATGGTTGTTCGGCATGGGGCGAAATGTGCCATCTTCGTGAAGCGATCGACGACGACGAGGACGGCGTCGTTGCCGGACGGCCCAGCTGGCATCCCCGTGACAAAATCCATTGTCACTTGTTGCCACGGTTGTTCGGGTGGCTCGAGGGGTTGCAGCAGCCCAGCTGGTCGTTGACGTGTCGATTTCATGGCTTGGCACACCCTGCATGAGGACACATATCGCTGCACGTCGTTAGAGGAGTCAGGCTAGTAATATTGACGGTGCAGTAATTTCTGGGTTTTGTCAACCCCGAAGTGTCCGGAGAAGTTCGAATCGTGGACCTCTTGGATAAGGAGTTCACGCAGCAGCCTGTAAGCGGGAACCCAAATCCATTCGGTTCCGGCTTTTAGGTATTAGTCCCCCTTCTGCGTCGTGGCCTGCTAATGATTTCCAGTCGTGAAGAACGGGTCCGTAGTGTAGCCGTGGGTGAATAGTCCGGTTAGTAACGGGTTCGAGTGGGTGATGAGTACTGCAGCGGATTGTACTGTCGGTCGGGTCAGGGCGTCGGCGATGTTATTCGCCCCCTTCTTGTACGTGATGCGGTAGGTGAAGTGGCTCTCCATGTAGTCCAGCCACCGAATTCGTCGCAGGTTGAGGTTGGGCTGGGCTCGCAGGTACTGTAGGGACTTGTGATCCGTGCGAACAGTGACGTCGGCGCCCACCAAGTAGCAGCGCCACAGTTTGAACGCGTGTATTATGGCGAGCATCTCCTTGTCGTGGATTGGGTAGTTGCGTTCGGCTGCCTGCAGCTTGCGTGATTCGTAGGCGATCGGCTGCAGCCCGTTCCCGGAATCTTGGAGTAGCACAGCTCCGATGGCGAAATCAGAGGCGTCGGTTACGACTTCGAACGGCTTCGATGGGTCAGCGATGCGCAGAAAATTCTTGAGTTCCTGGAAAGCCGCTTCTGCTTCCTCCCCCCACACAAAATTCCTGTCCTTGTGCAGCAGGTCGGTCAGCGGGCCGGTTATCCCCGCCATATTCGGGATAAACCGCTTGACGTAATTCACGAACCCTAGAAAACTATGAAGTTCCGTGACATTCGTCGGGGACTTCCACTCCTGTATGGTCTTGATTTCCGCCGGGTCGATTTTAATGCAGTCGCGTGATATGACGTGCCCCAAAAACTCCAACTCCTGCTTAAAAAACTCGCACTTAGAGCTGTTGGTGATGAGTCGGCTCTCGCACTGCGTCGAGGTCGCGGAGGTGCTGCTCTCGTATCTTGGAATCAGGATATCGTCCAAGTAGACGATGACACAACGGTCTAGAAGGTCCCAAAAAACCCCGTTCATGGTTAGCTGAAATGTCGAAGGCGCGTTCGTGAGGCCGAACGGCATCACTGTAAATTCGTAACTCCCATAGCGTGTGCGAAACGCAGTCTTGTGACAATCGTCGGCGAAGACTCGAACCTCGTGGTAACCGCCACGTAAGTCAATCTTCGAGAAATAGCGAGCGCCGCGAAGTTGGTCGAGGAGGTCGTCGGTGCGTGGGATTGGGTAGCGAGACTTGATGGTGACCCTATTCAACGCGCGATAGTCGATGCACATGCGAAGCCCACCGTCTTTCTTCGGAGTGAACAGGATCGGTGCTGCGAAGGGAGATGTGCGGGCCCGAATGAACCCTTTCTCCAACAGTGCGTCAATTTGACTTCGCAGCTCCTCGAGTTCCGGCTGGGTCAACCGCCACTGTGTCCGAACAGTCGGCTGCGCGACAGGCTCCAGCTGGATTTTGTGGTCCTCAGGTCTCTCGGATGGCAGTCCAGGTGGCCGGTCGTCGGGGAAAATGTCGGGGTACCTCTGAATCAGCTCCGCTAAATCCGGCGGTACAGCTGCACACAGCTTCTCGATGTCCTTTCCGTCGGTGTCAACTGCCAACTCGCGTAAGCAAACAGCAAACAGCTGCACGCCCTTGTTGAAGTGACGAGCTATAGTGACAGCTTTGACGCACGGGGCTTGGATGTAGTCAGGTGTCCATGCAGGCAGTTTAATTAGCCCCTTGTGCTTGTTGATGCTACACGATCCCGTTCTCCAGTCGGGGTTGTGCCGTCGCAGCCAATCACGTCCCAGCAGCACGTCGCAACCGTCCAGCGCCGTCGTGAGGAACTTCATGCTGAAGCCGAAATCTTCGCCGCATTCGATCCTGACCGTCCGTGTTTCTTCCGTTATTGCCAGATGCGTCCCATCCACGATGCGGGCGTCAATTTCAGGCAGACACCTGTCAAGTTGCAGCTTGCATTTTTTTGCGCTCGCCAAATTGAAGAGGCTATGGCTGGCCCCCCCATCAACAAACATTTTCAAGTTATTTTTTAACACCTTGCCAGCGACCAGCACAGGGTGATCCACATGATTATCCTCGTTATTCGGCCGAGTGCGATCGATTGCATGAATCGCAACCACGACTCGGTGGCGATGGTGGAGTTCGGGCGACGGAGCACAGTCAGAAAGGGCCTGCTAATTACTTACTCTTCCCATTTCCCTGCTCCTTCCTGTCGTTCCCCATCAGCGGCGTTTTCTCGTGGCAGTCTTTCATGTAGCGACCCGTCTTCCCACACCGGTAACACGGTCCCTTAGGAGGGCGGTCGGGTGTATGGACGACGTTGATCGTGGCCCGATGGGTCTGGCCACGAAAGCGGTTTCCATCCCTGGAAGCTGCTCTCGCGTACTGCATCAACACATCTGTTGACTCCGCCAGCCGTACTGCTTCAAGAAATGATGTCGGGCGGCCCCTGCGAACCTCGTACTGTCTCTCGTATTTGAGGCCACTGATATATTTATCCAACCGCTCAGCTTCCGACATATCATCAACTAGGTCGGCGAGGCCCATAAATGACGCCGTGTAGTCTTGGACAGAAGCCATCTGCGACGATGCACACAGCTTCATGCGAGCTTGCTCCGAGGCGGATACGTGCTCGAAGCGATCTCGTAAGGCTGCGCCCCACTCCTTCCACGTGCGTATCGTGGTCACTCCGAAGATTGATTGTGCCACTTGATTAGTCACTGTTGAGGTCCCGTCTGCCGCATGCGTCACACCCGTCGGCGTCCCCGTTTCCAAGGTTCGGCGCCACCATTCAAGTGCTGCACCTCGAAGAAGCGAAACCGCGTAATTAATACGCTTGGCGTCGTCATTAACTCCTGCTGCAGTGAAGAAGATTTCGACCCCGAACAGCCACCCCTTTACTGTAACCGTCTTGTCCGTAGGATTAAACGGGGGCAGGTTGACGGGTTTTATCTTGATCGTCGTTACTGCAACTGGTGCTGCTGCCGCTCGCTGCCTGTCCTCCTCTTCGAAGTCACGTGTGAGCGCGTCCAAGGTATTGCTCACTGCTTGACTGTTGCCCTCGCCTTCTTCATCGGGCGACACCTGACGCGCTTTACCTCGCGTCTGGCGCAGCTCGGCGTTTTCTTCACGCAGTGTTGTCACTTCCGCCATTAACGATTTCATGCCCTCCTGCATCTCTGCCACTTGCGCCATCAACCTGTTAACCGCCTCCTGATCCATGTGCCTAGCGCTACGTCTGGTGGGCAATCGGGTATCCGTGGCCTTCATGCAAGTGAAAACACGAACTATCGGAGTCGGGCAGGATTGAATTAACAATCCCTGCGGCCAACCGTCGTGTAGTCACTAAACCAGCCACACCTGTGCCACCAAACCACCCTCGGAAAAGCGGGGTGTGTCAAACATTTATCATATAGCCTGTCTAGGCTGTAGTGGGGTAGAAACTATGGGGTACAGTTTCCTAGGGTTTCATATTTGTACCCAACTCATTTCCTAGTCAATCATTCCACTTAGTTTCTTCACATGGTATAGAGCGGGTTCCCTAGTGGGACCGTTTCTTCCTAGGGCCCACCATCAAAAAAAAAAAATCATACCCTGCCCGAAGCGCGCTTCGCGCTCTGCCCTGCTGCCGCTGTTGCGGCCCTGCCCTCTCACCCTTTCGCGGCCCCTTAGCGGCCTGCCCTGCTCCTGAGGCCCGTCGCGGCCCTTCGCGGCCCCTTCGCTGTCCCTTCGCGGCCCCGCCCCGTCGCCCGTCGCGGCCCTGCCCCGTCGCCCGTCGCGGCCTCGTCGCCCGTCGCAGCCCCGTCACCTGTCGCGGACCGTCGCTGCCCTGCCGCCCCTACGCGGCCCGCCCTGCCTTCGGCGCGGCCCTTCTCGGCCCCGGGCGTCGACCCGTCGTCGCGGCCCCACGCGGCCAGCTCGCCCACCAGCGCGGGCCTCCGCGGCTCTCCCGCCCCTTCGTCGCGGCCCCGCCCTGCCCCTCCCTCCGTCGCGGCCCCCCCAACTGCAGCAGCCGCCGGGGCGTGCCCTGCAGCAGCTGACGTCCCTGCTGCCGCCACCGAGTC